CCTATGTAAAGAAATATAGTTGTAGTGCTAAATACTACCTTGTAAGACCAGGGTTTGTGTTTTTCATTTGTTGAAGCCACTGCAATAGAACATGGTCAGTCACTAATATGAAAACAGCCCCTAACATATAGAATCTAAGATTATGTGTGGCCCATTTAATGGCCAAAGTTTCCTTTTCTATAGCTGAGTATTTCTGTTCTCAGGGCTTAAGTTTCCTGTTTAGGTATAAGATGTTCTTCCCCATTCTCTTGCTGAGTGAGTACTGCCTCTTAACCTTGGTCAGATGCATTTGTTTGCAATAAGAAAGGTAGTGAGAAATTAAGAGCATGTTGTATGAGGTTGTGTCTTATCTGAGGCTAGATGTCCCTCAACTTCCTTCTCAAGTTGAAGGAAGGAATTTCCCTTCTGGGATCTTCACTTATCTACTTCAGGAGCTTTTTTCCTTGTTAAGTCAGAAAATGGGATGACTTATTTATTTATTTGATTTTCAGTGGTGCCTCGCTTGACGACGATAATCCATTCCAGCAAAATCGCTGTACAACGAAATCGTTGTCAAGCAAAAGTAAAAAACCCATTAGAATGCATTAAAACTGGTTAATGCATTCTAATGGGCAAAATACCTCATCATCCAGCGAAGATGCTCCATAGGGCGGCCATTTTCCGGTGCCTGTAAAGCGAAAAAGCCCTCCTAAACACAGCGGGGAGCCATTTTGCACAGCGGGTGGCCATTTTGAACCAGATGATCAGCTGTTTTCTGATCGTTGTTAAGCAAAAAATCAGTTCCCGAAACTGAAACGATCATCATCAAGTGAAAAAAGCCCTTTGAAACATTGTTTTGCGATTGCAATAGTGATCGCAAAAACATCGTTGTGAAGCGATTTCGTTGTATAATGAGGTAATCATCAAGCGGGGCACTACTGTACAGTATATATCTGACAGCCAAGTCCACTCTGGGTGGTTTAAAACAACATAGAAGAACGAACATAAAACAACAAAGTAACAAAATGGCAAATAACACGGGAGAAAATCAAAAGTCATAAATTATAACACAATAATTACAATGAAAACAGTAGACCAATATAAAAACATGGAGCATGACAATATGATGATATAACTTCTATCGGGCACTATTGGATCAGAGTGTAGTGTGAATTGACAACAACAACTTGAAACATCCAAGAACTGCTGAACTTCCTACTTATGCCTCCCCTGGCTGCTGCTGTTTGAGAGTTGTCTATGTACTCTTTATCTTCTCTTATACCACTTGTTGCTCCACTTCTCTCATTTTCTCTTTCAACAGTGCAACCAGTTGGCATCTGCTGAATGTGAATACCATATTATCAGGCAGTAACATGAACACTGCACACACTTTGCAGTTCACTACGACAAAACTGTCTCTTCCCTCCATGATCCCTACGTTTATAACTTTTAATTTTCTTCGGTCTATGAAGATTTTGCTTTGCCTTGCCTGCCTTGAAAGATACTGAAAAAGTCAAGTAATATAAGACTACATACAGAAACCAAAAGTTTTCTTAGGGGCCTCCTCCCTGGCCTCCCCT